TCAATTGTTTTATTATTTTTGTGATTATAATTACATCATTTTCCTCTTCCCTTTCTTCCGCCCAAACACTTCCATGTACCTCTCCTTGCTACCTTTCAAATTTACAGTTTCTTGTTTCATTGATTGTTGTTATATACATATATGTATATAAATATATATTCCTAAGCATCCCTGTTCAGTGTATAGAATCTGACTTGTATGCATGTTTGCAGGGCTGACCATTTTGTATTGGGTAACTAATTGGTGTCATTTTCCCTGGGAAAGACTTTTTTTTTTTTTAAAGCTCAACAATTCTCAGTGGCCTATTGCACTTCTGCAGGGTTGATGTCTTTAGATTTTGTTGTTTCTTTCTTTCAAAGAATTGGTTAATTGCTTGGTAAATCTTTTGTAATGTTTTTTTAGCCATAAATGTCTGCCCTGTTCTTATTTCTTACCACGCCAGGGCTTCTCAGTTTGAAAGTTCTCATGTTTCTCGAGGTGCATATGGGGTTATTTATTTGAGGTCTTTGATTTGTATGTCTCTGTGTGTGTGTTTTCCCACAGGGTTTCTCTGTGCAGCCATTGCTCTTAATCACTGAGCCATCTCTCCAGCTCCAAGTCAAGGACTCTTAATATGTGTGGGCTGTTGTTGTTGCAGGGCAGAGACCTAAAGACCATTCAGCATGACCAAAGTTCAAGTTAATTAACTTTATATCCCGATCGTAGCCCCCTCCCTTCTCTCTTCCCAGTCCCACCTTTCCACCCTACCCACTCACCCCAGCTCATCAAGTCAAATCAGGACTGAGTGAATTCTTTTCCCTGTGACCTGGTGAGGCAACCCTCCAGGGGGGAGTTATCAAAAAGTAGGCAAAGTCCATGTCAGAGATGGCCCCCTGCTCCCCTACTAAAGAACCCACATGAAGCCTTAGCTGCCCATTGGCTATGTCTGTGTAGGGGGCCTAGGTATAGTCTATGCATGGTTCTTGGTTGGTCTCCCAAAGCCCTGGTTAGTTGGCTTTGTTGGTCTTGTTGTGGAGCTCCTATCATTTCCAGGTCCTTCTATTCTTCCCCCCACTTTTCCACAGACTCCCTACATTTCACCCAAATGTTCAGCTGTGAGTTTCAGCATCTGTTTCAATCCACTGCTGAGTAGAGCATCTAGGAGGACAGCCATGCTAGGCTCCTGTCTGCAAGCATAGCAGAGTGTCATTAATAGTGTCAGGGGTTGGCTCTCAGATATGGCCTTGTAGTCCCATAACATCTCCATGTAACATCTCAATATTATATTATAAGCTACTGTGGAGTATTAATTGCCTTAGGATCTAAGGGTAACTAACAAAGGAGTGATCCAGCTATACTCCATAGTCTCAAATACCTCCACAATTTTAGTTCATTCCTAATGAAATTGTGGTTTACTATCCTTGTCATCGTACATGTTTTCTTTGCATTTCACCATACCCAAGCAATAATTCATGTTTGCCTTTAAATGGATTATTTCTGACTCTGTGTGAGCTGCTCTTTAGCCAGTGCCTCCCAAACCAGTCTCTAAAACTTGTAAGAGCGTGACAGGGCAAAGGTTTCTCTCTCTTGTCTCAGCAGAAGCCATCTTGGTTTAAACCAAAACTGAGCTTCCCCCTTTCTACCTTGCCCTGGCAAGTCCTGTGGGAAAGACCCCAACCATGGGAAAACCCCAAGCTAGAAACTCAGGGTGGAAATGCTCCAGTTAACTGCATGTTTTTGGCTATTGTCAAACAGCTTGCTTGCTTTACTTCCCCATGCAACTGCCAACCAGGATGTGGTCTTTCTATGTTCTTTGTCTTTACACCCCAGAATTGAGTATCTTTTTGAGGAAATACTTATAGAGCAACCTTTGAGTTATGCTCCTTTGCCTCCTTTGCAACAGCATTCATATGCTCTGGGACCAGTGGAAGGGTTGCACTCAAGGAAGCTAAAAGGTCTCTTTCTAATAAATAGATAAATAAGTAAATAAAGAGATGAATCAATGCATATAGGACATTCAGAAAGACCTAAAAGATAAGAAGTAAGTCTCCAACTTTTACACAGTTCAGTGAATCTTTGCAGGTTCTAATCAACACCACTTGTCCCAGTTTCATGCAGGGAGTCTGTATTTAAAAGGAAAGTAACACTTTTACCTGCTACATTAGGCCTCAAGTTGTGTAAGTGACTTTCAGCAATGCTGGAGCCTCCACAATACTCATCCTCAAGCTGTTTTCCAGAGCCACAGTAACAAACACAGTATGGCCCTGCCACAAAACCCACACAGGTAGACCAGCAAAGTACAATAGAGGACCCAAAAATAACCCACACAGTCACAGCCACCTAAGTTTGGTCAAAGCCATGCATATGTGTACATTCAAGAAAACAGATTCAGCTGGGAGGCAGGGCCAGGCAGATCTCTGTGAGTTCAAGGCCACCCTGGTCTACAGAGCAAGTTACAGGACAGCCAAGAGAAACCCTGTCTCAAAAAACAAACAAACAAACAAAAAAAAACCAGAAGGCAGAAGAGGAATACAAGGAAGAGGAGAAGTCAGAGAAGGAGGAGAAGAAGGGAGCCTCTTTAATAAATAGCATTGGAAAAGCTGGGTTTCCACAGACAGGAAAATGACACTAAATTTGTATGTCTCTGTTTTTGTTTTGTTTTGTTTTTGTCTGCTTGTTTTTGTTTTTTAAAAAGCCATTTCAAAATGGTTCAAAGCATTAATATTAAGACAAAAACTTCAATGAAAAATACAACAAAAGCCCTTGCAAACACACACATAGACAAGGATTTCTGAAAAGGAGTCCAATAGCACAGGGACTAATCTCAAAATTTGACTAATTGGATTTCATTGAATTATGAAGCTTCAGTGCAGCAGAGAAAGCAAATGCCAGAATCAAGAGACACCCTGAATAACAGAAGAAACTCTTCACCAGGTATACCTCAGACACAGTATTAATATATGTGTTATATTAATTATATTATTAATAAATAGGCTAAAGCCCTCAAAACTTAAATACCAAAACCAAATCATCCAACCCAGTTAATTAATGAGCTAATGAACTGAATAGATTTATCAGATGGGGAAATATAAATGATTGATAAATACTTTTAAAAGTTTTCAATATGCTTAATCGTCAGGGAAATGAAAATTAAAACTGCTTTGAGATTCCATCTCATCCCTGTTAGAATGGCTGCTGCTAACCATGCGACTTCTCCAGAGAAGCAACTGAGATCTAAAGAATAAACTGGTATCAAATTTTACCTAAAAAGCTGCCTGTCTAAGCATGAAACTCAATTATGACCAGCAAAGCACAAAGAGAAAGTAGGATAATACGTACATACATACATAAGTATATATAACACTAGATAGATAGACAGACAGACAGATAGATGAAAGAATATAACAAACACAAAGCAATTAACACTAAGTTTCCTTCCCCACCTGTTGACTTAGTATGTGTCTTAGGGTTCTACTGCTGTGAAGAGACCATGACCATGGCAACTCTTGTAAAGAAAAACATTTAACTGGGGCTGGCTTACAACTGTAGGGGGTTTAGCCCATTATTATCCTAGTGGGAAGTACGGCAGCGTGCAGGCAGACACAGTACCGCAGAAGTAGCTGGGAGTTCCACACCCAGATCTCGGGCAGTAGGAAGAGACAGTGAGCCACTAGATCTGGCTCAAGCTCCTGAGACCTCAAAGCCCACCCCGTGGTGATGCACTTCCTCCAACAAGGCCACACCCACACCACCGAGGCCACACCTCCAATAACGCCGCTCCCTGTGAGCCTATGGGGGCTGATTTTATTCAAACCACTACAAAGCATGTATGCTTTTTGTTTCCATTTTGCTTAGTGGCAGCTCTGGGGTTTACACTACCTGTGCTTAACTTATCACACTTCAACTACATGCCACCTCATGAATGACGCACAAGCGTTGCAGCAGGCTCAGGTTTTCCTTTCCATCTTTTGTGCTGTAATTATCACAACATTTTAAATATATATCTCTACATATATATATACGTCTATTTCCATGTGGGTGTGTGCACGTGAGTGGAGGCACTCACCAAGGCCCAGAGGCATTGATTTCCCAGGAACTGGAGTTCTGGGCATCTGTGAGCCACAGGTGAGTGCTGGGAGTCGACTCAGGCCCTCCAGGAGATCATGCGCTCAGTCCCCAAGCCACCTTTCCAGCCCCCTGTAAATCATCACAGGTGTTTATTTCTACGTTTTAGAAGCATCATACAATAGCTGTATCTTTACCTTTTCAGTGATGTTTGAACACCGAGAGAGACTGACTACCTTCTACTGTTCCCATAATCACTTCCATAGGCTTCATTCGTGTGGTTCTAAGTGTCACTCTGGTAGAAATTTCCATCAGCCTTTTAACACTTCATGGGATAAGAATCTGCTGGACAAAGCCCTTGTTTTGCCCGAAATAGGACACCATTATTTTCTACACACTAGGTGAAGTGTGCGTGTGTGTGTGTGTGTGTGTGTGTGTGTGTGTGTGCGCGCGCGCGCGCGCGCGCACACGTGTGTGTCTATTGACTTCTAGGTTGACAGTCTTTTTTTTTTTTTTTTCAACACTGTATAATCTGGAAAATAAGAATTGTAAAGAAAAGCAATTTTGGTGGCATGAGAATATACTGAAATAGAAGGTTTGGAACCGTGGAAAAACAGGCTGTGAACTATAACACGTATCATGAAGTCATTAACCGTGCTAACCACATAAAAATCTGCAAATATGAGGGGTTAACAGAGGTTAGTTTTCACCTGGAGGCCAGGGCGTGAGCCCCCGATAAAAGCCTCACTCTTGCTCTCCTTCCCCAGGTTCCCACAACAGCGACTAGCCTGTCCTTCAAGCTGAGAAGGCTGCAGAGGGCTCTGAGCCACTGGGCCGGGCCTGCAGTGAAGAGCCCCGCCCAAGGCCAAGGCTGGGGGCTTAGGTAAGGAGAGAAAGGCAGCTGGATAGTCCAATCATAAAGCAACGGTGAGCTCCTGCAGCGGGCTAGAAAGTCCGAGCAGTTTCGTTTTCCCAGAAGCAAGCCTTCCTAAGGCTGGAAGCGTTGACCCTAACAGTTCGCTCTGACCACCGCCAAAGCCACGCTGGAGCCGGGGCTGCACCTCTCGGCCTCACAGGCGAGTGACCAATCCACAAGTATCTGTTTCCAAGTTCTGCTTTCCGAGGCTGCCAGGTAAGGGAAGCGAGAGAACTCCCCGGAGTCCTTTCCAGCAGACTGGAAAAGGTGGGGGCGCCAGGTGCGACTTTCCAGGAGGCCTGGGACAGATGAGGGGCAGGAGCAAGAAGGAAGGGCCTGGAGAAGAGCTTTTCTGCTTTTGAACGCGTTTTATCCTGTCTTGTGTGATTCGTATGGGCAAGTGAACTGATTCGATCAATAGATTGATCGATTGATGAATAGATGGGCCCTCGACGGAGCACTGGGGTAGAGGAATAGCGCAGGGAGGGGTAAGAATGGACGTGGGGAGAGCAGATATCTAAAGAGAAACTAAAAACCACCAGGAACAATCCGAAAGCTTTGGGTGTATTGGAGGTATTGGAATTGAATATATTGAAAACAATATATCCAAATTTTGGAATTATTAAAGTGTAATTTAATAATCAAGTAAACACAAGTTTCCCGGTGTTTGGTGGGCTTTCTGTTGGTCTCTTTGCGCGGCTTTAACGGGGAGTGAGGGGTGAAGCCAACCATTGGAAAGGAAAGGCGACCTCTCAATACCACGTGGATGCCCGGACCTGGCGCGCACAGGACTTTTAAGGCCAGGAAGGCTCTGCCGCTTAGAGCCCATCAGCTCCCCTCCACCCCCACCGAAGGCTAGCCCGCGAGATCCGAGACCTGGTGGCCTGAGCAGCCCAGAAGCAGAAGGGACAACTGTCTCTCCTGCCTGAAGGCCCAGAAATTTTATCAGACTCGGGGCTAGATCCTTAAAAAGTGGGTGCTGAGGACGGGAGTGAGCGTGCAAGGGGATGGGGATGGGTTGGTGGAAGCCTGGGTTGGTGGGAGCACAAGTAGTTGCAGGCGAGTGGCGGGGCAGAGGAGCGAGGGGCCTGATGGGGGGGGCGGGCGGGGAGTGGCATCTCTCTCTGCCTCTGTCTCTCTCTCCTCAGTCTAGGTCTCACTCTCTTCCGTTTGTCTCTCCCTCCGCCCCTCCTCCGCCCTTCTCTCCGCCCCTCTGGCCCTCCATTGGTCTCTTCCTCTCTCCATCTGTCCCTCAGTCCCTCTCTTCACCACCTTTAGGGGCGCACAGAGCTCAGCAGCAGGTTTCTGCGCTGACAGAGCCTGTCAGATGCTGGCAGGTTCAAATCAGATTCCAAAAGTGCGAGCCTCAGGCCCCAAAGTGCAGCTTTTGAAATCGCACGAGCGACTGAGCAACCCCTGTAAGATACTGTCCTTGGCTGAGGAGCTGAGAGGCAGAAATGGAGTTCTTACCATCAAACCCATGGTTCATAATCTAGAAACTATTGAAAAGAACCAAGGACTCCGTGATTTCCGTTTCCCAAATGTCGCTTGTTCTATAGCCTTTTTTTATTTTTTATATTCTTCTCTGGCCCTGCCCCAAGATAGACAGTCCCAGTTTGCTCTGCTCCAGCCTGCCTAGAATTTTGAGAGTCCCACTCTTATTTTCGACACACATCGGTCAGAGTCCTAATCTTTCACCAACTGTTTCTACCGTGGCGCAAGAAAGACAAAGACCACCTTTCTTCAGTTCTCACGGAAGGAATGGTGCCATTTCCTTTAGACCAGTTGTCCCGCAAGCCCCTCCATGTCACCTCGCTCATCTACTGTTGGGAGGTATTTTGCCCATCAAACTCTACTATAGCCTTATTCTGTGTCAGATGATATTTTAAAGATTTTACTTCCAAAAAACTCAATTATCTGGAGCTGGAAAGATAGCTCAGCAGTTAAGAACGCTTTCTGTTCCCACAGAAGACCCAGGTTCAATTCCCACGCAACTGCCACTACTTTGGTCCCAGGGGATCTAATGCCCTTTTCAGACCTTCCCAGGCAGCTTGTGTAGAGACATCCTTACAAGCAGAACACTCATGTACCACTGAGCCACCTCTCCAAGCTCATTGTCTTTAAGTTTCTATGCAAATACTGTCATAATATACATGCCTTACTATAAAATTGTCCTTCCAAGTCATTATCATGTTTTATAATTTTATGTATGTTGGATTCGGGAGGAGTTGGTGTTACCTTAATGGAGAAAGCGCCAGGGCGCACACATGAGGAATTATTTAATCTGCGAGTGATTATGTTGACTGAGTTCATTGAGATGAGAAGAGCCATCCTAAAGGGAGTGGGGGTAGGGGTGGCAGCATTTCCGGAGTGTGGTTCTTAAACTGAATGAAAAAGAGCAAGCTAGCTGAGCAGAGGTGTCCCTTGCTCCCTTCTTCCTGTGATTACATGGTGACCCCGCTTGACTTCACGACTGTGGTGATCTGTAATTCTCACCGTGAACTGTAACAAACCCTTCCTTCCTTCCATGCTTTTGTGAGGCTATCTTACCACAGGAGCAGAAAGGTAGCTAGGACACATGGCTCACTCACCTGATCTGCAGTATCTTTCTTTATGAGGGCATCCTTCCTTCCCCGCATTGCTGCGATAGTTCTCTAAACTTCTCCAACACCGGTGCATTACATTTCTCCTGCCTTTTCCAGGGGGTGACTTTGTTTCCCAGCTGAAGAGGAAAAGGGAAATGCCTTAGAAGACTCTCCCTCCTGCCTTGCCACAGCTATAACCTAACCTCACTCAGGCCAGCTGTTTGTCTTCTCTTCTTTGCCTTCTTCAGATTCTGGAACACAATCTTCTCCAAACCTGGACTCTCAAGAATCCACTGTTTTCCTCACCGAGCCTCCTCTTCCATCTTTAAGTTCTTATTCAGCGCTGGCTCTCCCTCATTCATGGCAAATATTGTTAACTTTCCCATTTTCTCTTGACACACAAAATCTTTGGGAACATTTAGTGTTGTTCCTAAAGACACCCCAAATTGTACTTACAATTCAGGATCTTGTTTCTGGAGCTGGCTAACTTAGGTCTTATTCCTCAGCCTGCTGCACTGTTTCCTTTTCAGACACATAGATACCAACCATCCAAAAACTGTCTGATATCCTTGCTTTTTAACTGTTGTGGCTTGCTGAATCAGAGCTGCTGAATTTGAAACAAGTTCAATATCATCTCCTTCAAGGATTAATTAATCCTTCTAGGCTTGAGAGACAGAACAAGCAACACCTGTCCTCATCTGTACCCTGAGGATGTATTTTTCACCCAAGAAACTTTGGATTTCAACCAAAGACCCATTCTCCTGGATAATGACATTGACGGGGAAATGAGCATACACAGACCTCATCTTGTAATGGAAGCCCAGTGTAACACCCTTGATCATGTTCTTGAGCAACCAAAGAGTTAAAAATTAGGTTTTTGGGTTATTGGGTTAAAGTTTAAAGCACAAACCTGAACAAAGGATGGGTACCAGAGACCTGTCTGGCCAGCTGTGGGGAGGAACCAGCCTTGCTCCATTCCTTTCCTCCCACTAGAGATATGCTGTCAGGAAACGGGCCCAGATCCCCTCTCCCCCTAGCAACAGCTAATCAAAGGAAGCCAAAACCATTAATGGTTTTGATGCCTTCCCACAGCCAATCATTTTAAAATGCAGCATCCCCTTTTGTGTTTCAACCAATAGATGTTTGCCAGGCTGGAGTTCCCTTACTTTGGGCACATGGGGAGGGACTGGAACCTATAAATCCCCCTCAATCCTGAGCCCGGGACTCTCAGTTGCCTTGAGAGTTACCAGTGTCTTGATGTCTGTGAGAATACCAGCTCCAGCTGTGAATAAAGATCCATATGTGTTTTGTAACAAGCTCGACTCCAGCTGGTCTTTTTTATTTATTTATTTTTTTGGTGGGGGGGGGTCTCATGAATTGGGTACAACATTCTGAACATGATTGCAGATGGTCCTGACAGTGGCAAGTTCCTTTCTGTTACCTCACCATTTCTCAACCCAGAGCCTCTTTTTTTTTTTCTTTCCAAGGAGACTCAGTTCTACATTGATGTGATTGAAGTCCCTCTGCAGAATTCCGCTGGGGCCCTTCATAATGACTGTGCACCCCTTCACAGTGATGTTATTTTCTGGGATGTCTACCGTCTGATTGCTGAGAATGGTCTTCATTCTCAAAGTAGACGTGGAACAGACAAGGTTTCTCTGTGTGACCTTGGCTGTAGGGGACTCACTTTGTAGAACAGACTTGGCATTGAACTCACAGTGATCCACCTGCCCCTACCTCTGTGACTGTTGGGATTACATGCATGTACCACCACATCCAGCAACTTTTCCATCTTAAAGAAAAGACAACCGTCAACTTCTCTCCCTTTATGTACATTTCTGTACCTCTTTTAAAGTGACTTTTTCTGTACCTGATATTAATTCCTCAAGTTTTGCTTACTGGACATCTAGGAGCCAAAGCATCTAGTCAACAGTTGTTTCATTCACTAAATACTATGTCCCCACTCCATCCCCCTCACCTCCACACAGGGTTTCTCTGTGTAGCCCTGACTGTTCTGGAACTCACTTTGTGGACCAGGCTGGCCTTGAACTCAGAGATGCTCCTGCCTCTGCCTCCCTAGTGCTGGGGACTAAAGGCGTGCACCACCACTGCCTGGCATTTTACTGAATCATATACTAAAACTTTCTAATCTCACCTTGCAGTACCTGTCAACAGCTTACATACCTGAAAGTCTCAGCAGGTGGCCTTGTTCTCCGTGCCCCATTCCATATTCCTTTTGTTTGTCTCCTACCTCTGGTTTTTCATGTCCTTTCTGACATCTCCTTCCAATATATTCTTTATTTATCCCCTAACTCATTAGAAATATGTTCCAAGCTGTGCTATCTCATGCCTTTGCATTAGTTTATTCCTCCTGTTCCTGTACCTCAATGCTAATGGCTTCACCCTGACAATCTTATGAATAGGTGACATCATCTCCTCCTGTTAGCATTATCAAGCCACAGTTTAATAGACAAATTAGTTCAGGCACTGCTTTAATGTGTTTTTTTCCTCCTATAGCCCATATCACATGTGATTGTAAGTTCTATTTTCATTGCTCCCTCAAAACAGTTTCCAAAGAGAAAGGACGGTTTCTATCTTACGTGATATTTTGTTGCTTTGACAGAATACATTTGGCTTATATTAAATATTTTTAGTAAGCGCTGAATAAATTGTGTGCATTGGTAAATTAATTTTTTAGTAAAAATAAAACAAATGTTTGGATTGTTTGACTGTAGGATCAGCATGGAGACGAATCCGTCCTTGGTGGTGGTCCGATCTCACCCAGACTTGGTCATCTATGTAGGAGAAGTGACTCTTGGAGAAGAACATCGAAACAAAATGGACAAAACGAAGAGAATGAAAGAGAAGGAAAAAATCACACAGGCTGCTTGTGCTCTGCTAAACTCTGGAGGAGGAGTGATTGAGATGCAGATTGCCAACAAGACTGAGCATCCTGTCGAGATGGGGGAGGACTTGGAACATTCTTTGAGAGACCTTATTCCGTCTTCTAATTGTCAGACTTTCTTTGAGACCGACCAAAGAGGCAACCAGTTTTACATTTTTGTTAAATCTTGGTGCTGTGGCCCTGAAGATGGTTCCCCTAAGCCTCAAATTTGCAGCCTAAGCTCTTCGTTGTACACTAGAAATTTAACTTCGAAGATTGCCATGGATTCAAGAAGCGCATTTGACTTTCTGTACAAGAAGAGGAAAGGCAAATGTAGTCTGAGTGATAATGGACCTCCACCTTTAAAAATTCCCAGAGCTTTGAGTACGAACAGCCTTAACTCAGGTCCTGCCTTTACCATTTTTCAAAGTGAGAAACTTGAATATGGCCAAAAGTTGCCTTTTACTGAAACCGAATATATAGAGTTTAAACAATTCTTTACAAAACATGCCCCAAAATATATGAAAAATATAATTCCAGAGTACATCTCTGCATTTGCAAACACCGACGGAGGCTACCTTTTCATTGGCGTGGATAATGAGAGTAAGAGTGTCCTGGGGTGCCCAAAAGACAGTGTTGACTGTGACTGTTTGAAAACAGTGGCAAATGAAGCCATATCCAAGTTGCCAGTTTTCCATTTTTCCTCATCTAAAGAAAAGGTGTCTTATGAGACCAGAGTCATAGACGTGTTTAAGGAGGGAGATTTGTATGGTTATCTCTGTGTGATCAGAGTGGAGCCATGTTGCTGTGCTGTGTTCTCAAAAGCTCCCATTTCATTCATGGTAGACAAGGAGAAAGGTGTGTACAGCCTGAACACTGACGAATGGGTACGCATGATGATGGATGTTGGCCCAGGTAAGAGGCAAGAGTTCTTTCTTATCTGTCCTTTCTGCCTCTTTTGAGCTCCTCTGAATCCTTCACTCTCTGAAAATCTGAATTCATTACACCTACTGAGGCTGGCCTTTTCTGGATGTTTATGCTTTTGGTGGGGGCTAAAGGAAAGGTGAGACAGGTCTTTGTAGCCTTGGCTTATCTGGAACTTGCTCTGTAGACCAGGCTGGCCTCAAATTCACAGAGATCCTCTGCCACCCAAGTGCTAGGATTAAAGACATATGTCACCACCACTTGGAATATATTGGGGTTTTGTATCCTGCTACTGAAAGTGTTCTGTAGAAAAAAAAAAAAAAAAGTATCTCAGTGATTGGAGAGCCAAGGAATGCTACAGAAAAATGCCGAAAACTTTATGCCAGAGATTTATTGGAGTCAGGGGGAGACATAATGCAAATGGCTGCCACTGAATGAGGATGGAAAATAGAGAGGTGCTGTGGGCTCTATAGGGGCTTTTGAGAATGCAAATAGGGAAAATGCATGATCTTGGCATTGGCGGGAACATGCTGTTGCATTAGCTCTTAGCAGTGGCTGCTGCTGGTGCTGAGTCACTGAAGGTGGGGTGGGATGGGGAGTACTTGGCTCTGGAATGTAGGTGGTTCTCAGTTGACCAACATTCCTCCCTTTCACTTACTAGAAAAGGTAAGGAAATGGGAAGGGTGACTGGTACTGGTGAGCTGCCACAGTCTTTAGACTGCTTCTTGCCACCTGGGAGCCTTGGCATCTTTGGGACACCATTGATGTTCACCGTCAGGACAAATTTGGTAGACGTAAGTCTCTAGCTCTGTGGCTGGGGGTTGGTAGTCCTGTAACAATAACTGATTAATTGTTTGATAAGAGATTTTTAAAAACTTGTTGCTAAAGAAACATAGAGAAGAAATTGATAAAGCAGGGTACAAATAGTAAAAGCCGGAAAATGTGTGTGTGTGTGTGTGTGTGTGTGTGTGTGTGTGTGTGTAAATGCAATAAGTATCCAATTCCATATGGGGCTCTTAAAGACCCAGGGGCTAGAGTCATCAATCGTTCATTATGTTTTTGGAGGTCTGTTTGAAGCTGTTGGATTTTATTTTTTACTATACCTGATGGATTGACATAGAAGCAGCATTCCTCTCAGAGGAAGAGGCAAAGGCAGCCTTTTTCAGTTGTAAGAAGATCTAGTCCCCATTGTTGTACCCAGATTGCGAGACCCGAAAAGACCACCATAAGTCGAGTCCATTGCAAAACACATGAGGGTTTATTTAATACAAACTCGAGCCCAGGCCGCAGTAATCTCCCTGGTGAAGGCCCTGTGGTGTAGGGGAACAAGGTTTTTAAAGGGTGAAACCACAAGCAGGAGGGCTCCAAGCCTTGGTGTTACACAGTTGGGTAAGGGAAATTGACTTCTGAAATGATTGGTTTACTGTAGGTGCCAAGACCATAAATGGTTCTGGGCTGGTTTCCTAGTAACTGTATCTCTAGTGGGCAGGAAAAGAATGGGTTAAGTCCAGTTCCTCCTGGCAGGAGGCTGGACATGTCTCCACCTGGCTGGCCTTTGTTCGGGCTTGTGCTGTAAACTTTAAACCAATACTCAAAAACCTAACGTTTAATTCTTTGGTCCCTCACCATCAGTTTTGGAGCCCCACCACTGCCAAGGAATCAATTTGTCCTTGAAGGGTGAGGATAGTATGTTTTGTCTATTGGAGGTGCTGGATGAACTGGAAAGAAAGCTGTCCAGAAAGGTGATCAGTCTCTACTACAGCCAGAAGGGGCAGGATTTGAACAGCCCTTTTATTATGTCAGCTAGCAAGTCCACAATCCATGTATCACCCCCAATTTGGGAAGAGAAATACTATAATGCAAACTCCTGGCAGGTAGGCAGTTGGTAGCCCTGAGCACGGCGAAAGCATCAAAGTGTTGTGGACTTTAGAGCATTGGGTCTGGGAGGACGGGGGAATCAAGAGTTAGGGTTTTCTTGCAGTCTAAGAAACTTAACACTCCTACAAAATGTATCCTGGATG